CACACACACACACGCACACACACAACAGGCAGGTCCTTGGTTCATAGTCTCATAACTAGATGCATACAGGGCTTTCTAGAGCCTTCCACCACCCTACAACTAGGCTTAGAGTCCTTCTCAGACAGGAGTTTGTCCTCACACACCTCTGCAGCTCTGGGCTCTATGCAGGGCCAAAGCGCAAGCCTGGGAAGACTCACACGAGAAAACCCAGGTTGCCTCAGCCATCCAGAGGAGTGAGGACCAATGAATTGGCCAGGGGGACTGGTGTTCTGCACCCCCACAGAACCAGATGCCCCTAGAGGTTGGTCCCCTCCATGACCCCAGCTATCCCTACCCTCCACCAGAGTCTAGCTTAGGACTACATCCCAGAGAAACCTTGAACAGGCCAAAGTGGGAATGGGCAGGGAGGGTGTGCAGGCCTCAGGGCTCCCTACCATGCCCTGAACACCAACCTGCTGTCCATGGCCAAGGCCTCGCCCCCCTGTGTCTGGCCATGCCTATCTCCAGGCCAGGCCCAGGGACACTGGTCTCTCTCCTGCACAGCCAGAGGAATCTTTCAGAAACCTCTCAATGACTGTGTCATTACCCCATCACTACTACAGCTACCACCCTCATGGCCATCATACCACTGCCACCATGCCACCACCACACTACCAACACCATCCCACAGCCACCACCTCTACTGTCACCACTGCTACCACTGCCACCACCACAGCCTCTGTGGTTCTGCCCCAGCTCGGGGTCAAGTCCCCACTCCTTACAAGGCCCTCCTTCCCTGCACTCAAGAGTCTTGTCAGCTTCCCCTCCTGATGATTCCCTAGGTTCTTGACAGGCTCCAGCCATACCCACCTCTCTGCCCACACACACACTGCACAGATGCCCTCTATCCGCAATGGCCTGCTTCCTACTCAGCCTGGGAAGACCACTCTCATGCTTCAAGCTGTAGCTGGAATGCCATGCTTTCTGAAGGAGACATCTCCACTCCCTAGAGTGCCCTGCGTGCCCCCACCACAACTCAGGGTGAGGCCCTGGAAGCCAACCCAGGCACCCTCCTCCCCTACTGCCCTGCTCATCCAAGCTGCCCAAGGCCCACACAGGGAGCACATGCATTGGCGAGCCTCTCCCGGGGTCTCCTTGCTCAAGGGATTAAAGATCCTAACACTCAATAGGCACCCAGCAAATTCTGCTTAAAGAACATGGGTCTCATTAGAGCCAGCCCTCCCTCCAAAAAAAAAGGTTAGCCTTGAGCCACTTCACAGGGGTCCGGACTGGACACAGGGCAAATTTGGGACACCTAGGGTGATGTGGAATGGGAAGAAGAGGGAGATGGGAAATTCTGAAACTAAGAGTTGAGGCCGGAGTCTCCTCTGGGGAGAAAAGGAGGAATCAAGTTACTGCTACCCTTCCCTGGACTGGTGGCAAACTATTCTGATCCTCCCAACAGAACCTGGTGTGTCAGAAAACGTGAGCCTGCCTACACCAGTCCAAGGACACCCCATACCGGATGCTGTCACGCTCTGCCACGATCTTGTCACGCTCCTGGAAGGCCCAGTCCCGCCGGCACTTGGCCACGTCTGCCTCCTGAAGGGCTTCCTTCAGCTCCTGGCACAGAGTCTTGCACTGCTTTCGAAGGATTTCCACCTCCTTGTTGGCTCTCCCGGCATCCACTGTCACTGTGTCTTTGATCTGATGGGGACAAAGGGCAAGCAGAGGAGAGGTTATTGGATCTTCGGTCCAGAAGCGCCCTCCAAACAAGGCAGGGATTGGGGCTGTTGTGGAAAGGAAAACGATGAGCCCAGCCAGCAAACCCATCTCAGTGGCCCAGGTGGAATGTCTCCTGTAGAGCACTTTGTCCAGACCCCATCCTACCACATACCTGGTTTATATCTTACAGAAAGAGTCCACTGTGACTCTGTAAGGAGCTTCCGTGACAAAGTGAATGACGCCAACTGCAGTGAAGGTTACAGATGCTAGTCATGACAATGTCCCACCCACTGTGTTGGCAATACTAGTTTTCATAATCTGGCATACTGAGCTATTTTTTAAAAGAATTATTTATTTTGTTTTATTTATTCATTCATTTATTTTTAATTTGACAGAGAGATACAGAGAGAGAGAAAGACAGAGAGAGAGAGAGGAAGCAAGAAAGCAAACCACCAGGTCTGGGACTTGAACCATGGTCAGTCATATGGGAATGCCCAATGCCTTAACCACCACACCACCTGCTGGTTCCCATACTGAGCTATTTTTAAAGATGAAAATGCACCAGTATGTTTGTTGGTGAGATACTGTGTATCTCAGTTTGTTTAAACAGATGAAATCTGAAGCATTTGCATCTTGACACCTCCCTAGAGAATATCCACTCCATTAAAATTTCAAAGCAAGCTTTTAGAAGCACTCATATGAAAAACTCCCCTAAGCTCCTATGTTCTTAGAAAACACAGGGAAATGACAAATGACAGTGTCTGCTGTAAGAATAGCCCCAATTCCAGCTTGAAGACTTTCAAACAAGCAAAACAGAGGAGCGACATCAGAGCCACGGACACTAGTTGCTCCACACCAAGACTCTCTGCTCCAAGTGACAAAACGAAGGATGCCCACGCACAGGAAGAACGCTTTTGCTCCTGCGGCACTGAGGTTGGAGAACAAGAGACAGCAGCCGCTGCTACAAACAGGTTCAGAAAGGTCTCAGTGGTTCCAATCAAGAGCTAAGAATGAAGGAGAAAGCTTCTAACTATCTCTCGTCTCTCATAAATAGTCTGGAGGAACTGGGAAAAAATACGCACATCAATTACATCATACTGAGAAGGATACCGTGGCATGTTTTGCTCAAATCTCATGTTTCCCAGGCTCAATTCAAATAATGTCAGTTTGCTATTTTTTCCCCACTTGTGTAGAGCGTGGACTATTTGATATTTGCAAAAAAGCTTTTTCCTTACATTTCTTTTTTCTTTGAGAGATTTTTGCTATAGGGCATGTGTGCTCACCAGAGAGACAGAGAGACAGAAAGAGAGAAATTGCCCCACCAAGGGGGATGGCCATGCCATAATCCCTTCTCCATTCCTCTCTCAGGATTTTGGGCATGCACCCACACGTGCCTGGCGGGAGTTTCAAGCCTTTGGGTCTGGGACCCGAACAGCAGTCGGCATTTGGGAGTCCAGTGATGTAACCAAATGATGCCATCTGCTAGTCCCATTAAATTTCAGTTTTAAAAATTAAATTGGGAGCAGCAGATGGTGTAGAGGTTAAGGCATTGGACTCCTACATGGCCAACCATTGTTCTAGTCTTAGACCTGGCAGCTTGAAAATCATGCAAGACGCATGTGCATGTGTACCAAAAATACCAGGATGAGAATAGAGAAGGGATTATGGCATGGCAATCTCCCCTGGGGGGGGGGTTCTCACTTTCCCTCTCACCGTCTCTCTCTATCTCTCACCTCTCCAGAAAGTACACTGGCTCTATGACTAAAACCTTAAATAATAATAATAATAATAATGTATTTTAATTTTGTCAAGAATTTCTTATAATACATTTAATGATCACATTTTAAAATATTTAATGTGTCATACTATTTTTGTATATGATTTTATATTTGAAAAGTGTTTCCATGTGGTTTCCTATTAGGGTTTTCCATTGTGTTCTGGACAATAATCTCGAGCTGAGGGGCAGAGGGGAAGATACAAGAAGCCAACGCTGGGATTAGGCAGCTCCTGACCTCTCTCCACTTCTCCCCTTCCTTCTCACTATGGCCCCTCATCATTGTCGGTCTCCAAAATAAACTCTCCCCCAAAATACTGTTCCCATATGAGAAACTCAGGAAGTACAGTATCATGTAATTGCTGCTCAACTTACAGGTGGGGTTATGTCCCAGAAAACCCAACATGGAGCCAGCCTGGCTGGAAGGCTCACCCCAGCTGACCCCTGACAGGAATCCCTGGGGGGCGGCCCCCTGGAGGGGCCTTGCAGTCCACACTCACAGCCATAGGCCTGGCCTTCTCTGGCTGGTAGACAGTGGCCTTGCGCATGAAGCCAGGCCAACTGGAGAAGGAGCTGAGGATTTCAGCTCTGGGTGTTACCAGGGCTAAGTGGGGGTCTCCTCTCCTGCCTGCTCACTTGGAACACTGTCTGGAAAAAGATTCCTGCCTCAGCTGACAGGCGGACTTGATGCCCAGCCAGCACCCCCTGCATAGGCCAGGAACCTGCTCCAGGCTGAAGAGCACGTCCGAGTGCAGGGAGGGGGAGGCCCGGCTGGCACTCAGACATTGGGTCTCACCATGACCACACTCCCCACTGCACGCCACGCCAAAGGGAAGTCAGAGGTCTTCACACGTCTCTGCGCTTTCCATGTTCCTACAGTCTTCACAGTTAACTTCTATTTTTTTCCCCAAAGAATTTATTTAATTATATTTATTATTATTTTTTAATTTGACCAGAGATAGACAGACAGAAAGAGAAAGTGAGAAAACAAGTCACTAGGTCCATGACTCAAACCACAGTTAGCCATGGGGGCATCCAGTGCTTTAACCGCCACGCCACCTGCCGGCCCCCACAGTTAACTTCTTAAAGTCCCAAATTCCATCAAGTGGGCTCTCTGTCCTAGGCTGGGCTCACCTTCCATGACCTTTAAGTACAGTCACTGACTAGATTGTACTCCCAGTTTTCCTCTTTGTCATTTTGTTCTCTTATTTGACATCAACATTTTCCCCAACAACTTAGTGCTCATATACCAGGATGTAAACATGGTGTTTTTCTAGAACAATTACCAAGTTCCCAAGCATTATTTTTACTTATCAAATGTTCCTTCACATTATGACGTCTTAAAAATATCATTAAAGTAAACACATATATCTTTCTTCATACTGGCTTTCATCTCTAAGGCCTGGAGAAGACTCAGGTTTTTTTTAAATGAAATTGCCATTATTTCATCCATTCTTATGCACAAAAAAAAAAAAAATAGTTTTCTGGGATCAACCTAATCCCAGCAGGACAATAAGACTGAGATGGGCATGCAAATGATCTTAAGAATAAAGAGCAACTCATTTTTATTTTGGGTGGGCGCTATGCTAACTGGATTTCTACTGGGTCTCTGGAAAAGTCATGATGCACTTTTGCACAGAAAAAAAAAAAAAAAAACAGAAAAATATGTCATGACTTTTCCGACAACCCAATATATTAAAGTATCTGAGGCAAACACTGAGAAGCAAACACTACTATCATTTCCATTTTGCAGCTGAGGAAACTGAGGTTCACAGAGGTTAAGAGATATAAGAGGCCTGCAGAGAACTCAGTCTCCAAACACTGTGAATGCAAGCCTATGTTCCTTGCCTTCCCCACAGCCCCTTCCACCACCTGTGCCAAAGGAGGCGTCACTGTCGGTGGAGGAGTCGCAGTCCGGTCGCCCCTCAGGCATCAGCCCTGCCTTGCATCTGGCACAGAGGGGTCTCACTGTACTAGCTCAATGTACTCTGTCTCTGCCAATTTTCCTGACCTTTAACACTTTGCTTTTTGCTTCTCACAGATCACTTTTAAAGTCTGCACTCTTACTGACCTACACCGAGAGGCAGAATCCAGGGGCACACATAGAAAACTATTTTGATGGGGGAAAAAAGCTGTTCCAATCAAGCCTGGAAGCTCTCACCGGAGCCAGACCAGAGACTGACAACAGGAAGGGCATCTACAGGACCTGGTCCATGACCCAGCAGGGGGCACCTGAACTTGGGAGCAAGGAGCATCTGCAAGGAGGCAGCGGGGTAGGAAGGATGCAGAAAATGAATAGTGACCACTCAGGAGTCGAGTCGAGGGGCCCGATTCTGATGCTACAGAACACCACAGTCCCTTCCACCCTGGAGGCATGACCCCAGGGAACAGCCCTGGACTCAGCCTGGCGCAGGACTCCTGAACAAGAGCCAGAATGCCCCCTGGAAAGAGCAGACTCGGTCAGATGTACATGATGGAAAAAGAGCCCAAGATCGCTCCTCCAGACTCGCAAGGCCAAGTCTGTGTATGGTTTTGGGGACTTGACCTCTGGGTCTCGATTCATAACGAACAGTCCTTGTGATACTGCTGACCGCCAGCACAAGACTGACCTGCAATGACGGAATTGTGGGTTTGGGCGTGCGAGTGTCTGCATTTCATCTGACTTTTCTCCAGGATTATAAACTCGACATCTGGGACGTCCCTCCCTATTTGTCCCCTACAGTCTAGACCAGAGCTGGATTCTCAAACCTGGATGGTGTTTGATCCCTAGGTAGCACTGAGGCCACAAATGAGAAGCCCTCTGCTCTAACTCAGAAGAAGGTGTGTAGGCTGGGTGTGTACACTCAGCAGCCGCACTGCCCTCACCCCGTTACAAGGGACTAAAACAGGCCTGCCATCTACCTGCCGCAGCGCCTCCATCTCCTCACTGGCCGCCTTCTTCTCAGACGTGCTGCTCTTGAGCTTGGACTCGGCCAGCTCCACCTCGGTCTGCAGCTTGTCCAGCTCAGAGATGACCTGGTCTCGCTCACTCATGATGAGCTTGTACTCGCTGTACACGGCGTCCCGCTCCTCCTTGTACTTCTCTGACTCCTTGGCGGTCTTCACCTGCGTGGTCCTCAGTTCCGTCAGCTCCGACTGTAGCAGCTCCATCTCCCACTGCAGGTCCTTGTTCTGGGCTGTGGCCTTGTTCAGCTCATGATGGATTGCCTCAAACCTGAGGGAGAAAGGCAGCCAGGATGTGGGAGGTGCAGGGGGCCTGCCCGGTCAGCTGTCAGGCAGCTCTGCTACCTCCCGCCAGCCCTGCTGTGCTGAACAGTCAAGCATGAAGTTTCGAGTGAGGTCACTCTCTGCACCCCAGGAGAGAACAGTCACGGAGTACCAGTGCCTCTGGACTTGGAATTTTTCTCAACCTTTTAAAACACCAGACGCTGAACTGAGGACTGCATGCCCTCTGCACTACCGGAAATTACCAGCATATTTCTTCCATGGTCAAACTACATTATCTTTTTAAAGTAAGAAAAACAAAACAATGCTAAAATCACAGGAGATCAGATTAAAGTGGCCTTAATGATCACTTAGTCTGATCGTCTCATTTCATAGACATGGATAACACATAGGTAACTGACCCAAAGTCATGAGGTTACTTGTTTGAGAGCACAGCTCAGTACCTTCCAGGCGGGAGACCCCTTCCACAGGCAACCTGAGCCTGCCATTCCAGAGCAGCATTTCTCAAAGTGTGTTCCTCAGAACACCAATTCTATATTGCACCTTGGAGCCCTTTTGAAGGAAAGGGCTGTGAGGGCCAGCAGGTGGCATGGTGGTTAAGGCCCTAGAGACTCCCACATGGCTAACTACAGTTCAAGTCCCGGACCTGGTGGTTTGTTTTCTCACTTTGCTTCTCTCTGAGTGTTGTTTTACTCTGGTCAAATGAAAATAAATTTAAAAAAGAAAGGAAAAAAGAAAAGGCTCTGAGAAGTCCTGTAGCAAAGACACCTGTTTGAATTCACCCTGGCAATTCCTAAACCTATTTATACCCAGAAACACTTTCCATGTGAAACTGAAGAATATGCTCACTCTGGAGAATTGGTGTCCCACAAGAAATAACTTTTTAAAGCACTTGTAAAAAATTATTTTACTTAACTTTATTTATTATTATTTTCCAGTTGGACCAGAGAGAGGGAGAGAAAGAGAGAAAGTGAGAAAACAAGCCACCAGATCCAGGACTTGAACCGTGATCGGCTATGTGGGAGTCCAGTGCCTTTAACCACCATGCCCCCTGCCAGCCCCAAGAAAGTACTTTTGGAAGCACTGTTTGAGGTAGGGATCACATCTTTAAAGATGATATTCCTTAAGAAAAACATGCGTTTTAGAAGACAATGCCCTGGATAACTGACTTTCCTACTGGCTAGGTAGGGGACAGACAGATGGCAAAGCTTGTGGGGAGAACTAGGGAAAAGGATGCTCAATGCACACCAAAGGCGTTCAGATGGGAGAAAAGAGAGGCAACCCGAGGTATACTGTCCAAAAACATGCTCCTGACATGAGCATATTCGGACTACAAGAGCATGGCTCGTGACTGCAGACCAGACGGCCCTGCTGCTTCCCCAGCGAAGGCTGAGTGCCCTGATCTGAAAGGAGCACAGAAACTCACTGGAGCACCTTGAAAGGTCTTCAGAAATACCTGGCAACAAATCTGGAAATTAACTCCTTAGCAATGCTGAAAAACGGTAACTTCTGAATTCTAATCCTTGAATGACACAAACTGGTGCCAGGAGGACTCCCATTACCTTCTCTCAGAATGAAAGCTGCTCAATTCACTGTCTTAGTTTACATGTTTTCTGTGGCTTGAAATAAACTCCGCTAACATACTCACGCACACACACACAGAAAATGGCCTGTGCTGTTTTTACCTCTGGTGGTAGCTGGAAGCCTTGTATATGGCCATGACCCCACAAAGGAAAAGGGCCCCGTGGCAAAGAAGAGCCTTGTGGCTCTCACGCCACTCTCTGCGAGTGTGCTCCTGTCCCTGTGCCCAGTGTCGCCCCTCCGCCTACCTCCTCAGGGAGAGGGCGCACTGGTGCTGCAGCTGGATGGCGGTGTCCCTCTGCTGGGTGAGCATCTCTGTCTGCTTCAGCAGGCGCTGGTTCTCCTCCCCTAGCTGCTCCAGGCGGCTCAGGTCCGAGTTGTGAACGGCAACTTTCTCACTGTACCTCTTCCGCAGGGCCTCATAGTCCTTCTTGACCACCTCCAGCTTGTCCATGGCTGTGTCATACAGCTTGTTGAGAATCTCCGATGAGCCATTGTGTTTCAGCACCTGGGGACCAGAGGGAGTCACGCTTACCATGGATCGGGGTGAGAGTGGGGGGCAGGCAGACTCATTTCTGTCTGTCCAGGGGAAGGACTGATGACAAGGTAGGGAGGTCACTCTCTGACCTTTGAGGGTGACCTAAGGTCTGACTGTTCAGGTCACACTGGGCTGACTCACACTAATTCATTTATTCCCAAATATTCATTAACAATGCAGGCCTGAGACTTTTAAAGACCTGGTTACAAGACTGACCCTTGACTGGCATCTGGAAAGCTGAATGGGAATCAGTTCTCTACGTCAATAGAAAACTTCTCCTAAGTGGTAAGAGTGGCTCACAGGGGACCAGAAGGTGGCATGGTGGTTAAGGTGCTGGACACTCCCACATGGCCAACCACAGTTCAAGTCCTGGACCTGGTGGCTTGCTTTCTCACTTTCTCTCTCTCTCTGTATGTGTGTCTCAAATTAAAAATAAATGAATAAATAAATAAATAAATAATTCTTCAAAAAAATAATAAAAAAAAAGAGTGGCTCACAGTGGCAAGCCTGTGCAAACCACGAGGCCCAGGCTAAGCACCTGCTCTCTTCTGGGAGTTTAGTTTTGGTGCATGCTAGGTAAGAGGAATGATGACCAGTGCCCAGTAAAGAGCTTGGGCACCGCGTGTCTACCGAGCACCCCCGGGGGACACATGTCACCTGCACAGTCACAATTCCACGCTGGAGGAGTTAAAAGCACATCTCGTGTAGCTCCACTGGGAGAAGATTCTTGGAAACCTGTGCCCGGTTTCCTCTGGACTCCGCCCCTTATGCCTTTTGTCCCTTTGTAGAATTTGCTTTGTGTCCTTGCACTGGAACAATTTTAGCCTTTCAGTACGACAATATCCCGAGCCTTGCGAGTTCCCCCAGCAAATCACAGAACGTAGGGACGGTGCCGCCCCGACCCCAACACGAGTACCTAATATGTCTAGTTCGAAGCGCTGGTGATACTGGCTAGGACAGAAAGAGACTGCATATATGCAACGCTCTCTGAAGCTGAATCCACATGGGCTAGGCCTGGGTTCAAGTCCCAAGGCACCCCTGTACACACCATGCACTTGTGAGTGTGCTGTGATCCGGGCTGGCTGAGGCTGGCGTGGATCAGGACATGGACATCCTACTGGGGGTACCCATCTATCTCCCTCTCTCTCATGGAAGAAATAAAAAACTCAACTTTAAAGAAGGAAAAAAAAGTAAGAGAGTGTGCCCTAAGGACTTTGATCCCTAATGGATGAATATGAACTCATGGACAGGTAGAGACAGACCAAGTAAAACAGCTTCAGAGCATGATAAGGGCTATCAAGAAGATGAAAAACAGGGCCTGGCAGGTGGCGTAATGGTTAAAGCACTGGACCCCCAGGTGGTCGACTGCAGTTTGAGTGCCAGACCCGAAGGCTTGAAACTCATGCTGGGTGCATGTGAGTGCCTGCCCAAAATCCCAAGAAGTGAATGGAAGAAGAGGGACTGCGACAGGGCCATCTACCCAAGGGGTGATTTCTCGCCTTCTGTCTTTCTGTCTCTTTGGCATGTACACATGTCCTATAGTAAAAAAATATCTCTCTCAAAAAAAAAATGAAGATGAAAAATGAAATTACAGTCTACAGACTTTAGAGCAGAAGAGCAGAAGGATGTGAGAGAGGCAAATACTTGAGAAGGCCTCTCTAAGAAGGTGACTATTGTGCCCTAGTGCTCAAGGCAGCCAAATCCCAGAGGGCAGACCTTGCAGTTCGAATCCTAGACTCAGTGGCTTGAGACACACACTGGGCATGTGTGCGTGCGTCCCCCAAATCCTGACAGGAGGGAGAAATACAGAGGAGACTGCAATATGACCACTTCCCATAGGGGTGCTTTCTCCCTCTCCCCCTCCCTGGTAAGCACATACACCCTCTAGCAGAGTTTTTATAAAGAAAGAAATGAAGCTGACTTCTGAGTTTGGATGCAATGAAGAGCAGCAATAAGAGACATTGGCAGAGAGGAGAGCACAGGCAAAGGTCCTGAGGTATGTGTTCTGTGAGCAAAGAAAGGGGCGGGATGGAGTAGCTAGAGCCCAGTGCACAAGGGCGTAATGGTTAAAGCACTGGACCCCCAGTGGATCAAAAAGGAAGCTGGGAGTGGTGGGCACACCTCCGAGGCTCACCGGGAAAACTGCACCCTGAGTGAGATAGGAAAGCACAGGAGAGTTTTAAACGAGACAGCATTCTACTCTGAATTACAGGTACTAAAGTTTTTTCCAGGTGCTGCTCTGGAGAGGAAAAAGCAAATGAAGAGCCAACCAAAAAAATCCCAAGAACATGAGCTAAGGGGCTGTCCAGGAGCCTGCTGACTTCTGCTGAGCACCCCAGGGGATCTGGGCCCTTGGGTGAGTCACTACACCTATGTGGGTTTCAGTTTCCTTATTCTTCAAGTAACAGGACTGACCTAGAAAAGACTGCTTAGCCCTCCCAGGTCCAGTAGCCCAGGACCACCTGGCTTATTCAGCACAGACTCTGACTATCAGAAGATCTTTGCAGCCCACAGAGCCAGAACTGGGACTAAAGAACACTTCCTTTGTAGGCAGTCAGTACACAGCAAACATGACTAACAAAAGCGTAAGTGGATTTAATTTAAAAATCAGAGTCGTTGGGGCTAGCAGGTGGCATAGTGGTTAAGGCACTGGACTCCCACACAGTCGACTGTGGTTGGAGTCCTGGATCTGGCAGCTTGAAACACGCCAGGCACGTGTGAGTGTGTCCAAAGTCCTAGGAAGAGAATGGAGGAGAAGGACTGCGGTGTGGCCATCTCCCCTGGGGGATGTTTTCTTACTTTCTCTCTCAGTCTATCTCTGTCTCTCCAGTGAGTGTATGCCCTATGGCAAAAACCTTAAAAAAAAAAAAAAAAAAACAGTCAGAGTTATAGAGACTAGGAAAATGAGCTCAGCTCCTGAAACCTAAGCCTTAGTTCCTAGGACCTAGACCATCAGAAACCAGTCCGAGTCAGCTAATGCAGGCTTGTACTTCCTTTTTCTTTTCTTTATTTTAAAGCAGAATGCATTCTTTCAAGGAAAAGTTTACAAGGACACCAAAGTACAAAACTGATTTTTAAAATAGGTTCCTTGGTCTGTCGAAACCGTCATCGTTTTGTAAAAACCCTTCACTGTTGCAGAACAGGAATGCACAGAAAACCACTAATCATGCCGCATTCTATACTATAAACAACTTCCTGTTAAAAACAAAACAAAAACAAACAACAAAAAACAGCCATGACCTAATGAGTAAAGGAGCCAGATTCTCACATGACCAGCCAAGCAGTTAGATTCCGGCCCCAGCAGCCTGAGAAATACTCCAGGCACCTGTATGCATATGCTCAAAATCCCAGCAGGAGGGAGACATGGAGAAGGGATTGTGGCGTGACCACTCACCACTGCAGCTGCTTTGTCCCTCCTCCTCTCTGACTCTCTCCCCTTCTCTCTGACAAGTACACATGCCATCGGACAAAAAAACAAACAAAAAACAACAATATCTTCCAAACATACAGAAAAACATAGCAAATAGTATAAAAAAAGTTTTATGTATCCATTTTTTAGATATAACCTTAATATCTTATTACATGTTGGGGCCCACAGGTGGCATGGTGGTTAAGGTGTTGGACTCCTACATGGCCACCTGTGGTTCAAGTCCCACACCTAGTGGTTTGCTTTTTCACTTTCTCTCTCTCTCTCTCTCTCTCGTCTCATTAAAAAGTAATAATGAGGGACCAGCAGATGGTGTAATGGTTGCATCATTGGATTCCCGCATAGTCAATCACAGTTCAAGTCCCATATCCAGCGGCTTCAAACTCACGCCAGGTGCATGCGAGTGTGTGCCCAAAATCCCAAGAGGAGAGTGGAGGAAAAGGGATTGTGGTGTGGCCATCCCCCCTGGGGATTTCTTGCTTTCTGTCTGTCTCTGTCTCTCAGGTGAGTACACGTGACGTGCCCTATAGCAAAAATCTCTCCAAAATAATAGTAATAAAATTAAATAAAAAATTATTTTAAAAATTGCATCACATGCCTCAAATTGCTTTCAAAGAAATAAAACATTATAGGTGGCTGTTTAAACCCCCAATACAATAGCTCCCCTAAATTTGCTGACCATCTTGCACAATATTACATTTAAACTACCATGTATTCATAGGAGTATAAGTATACTCTATTAAAGATTCACTCATGTTGGGACCAGCAGATGGAAGTAATGGTTCCGTCGCTGGACTCTCACATAGTTGACTGCGTTTCAAGTCCTGGACCTGGTGGCGTAAAACTCACACCGGCACACATGCATGTGTGTCAGAAATCCCAAAAGGAGAATGCAGAAGGGATTGCAGCATGAAAATTCCCGTGGGATAATTTCTCACTTTCAGTCTCTCTGTTTCTGTCTTTCTAGAGAATGCATGTGCCCTATAGCAAATCTCTCTCTCAAGAAAAAAAAAAAAAAAAAAAAAAAGATTAACTCATGTTGGGGCCAGCAGGTGGTGTAGTGATTAAGGTCCCAGATTCCCATGTGGTCGACCGTGGATTGGGTCCTGGACCCAGCGTCTTGAAACTCACGCTGGGCACATATACGTGCATGTCCAAAATTCCTAGAGGAGAATGGAGGAGAAGGGATTGTGGCATGGCCATCTGCCCTGGGGGGTGATTTCTCTCTTTGTTTCTCTGGCAAGCACACAGGACCTATAATAAAAAACAAAAAGATTCACTCATGCTCATGCAGATAGTATTTCACTGTAAGAATAATTACACATGCTCCTTTTTTTGATCAAAGGACATGTTCACTGTCTACTTATTTTTGCTACTGTAAGTAACACAGATAGGAATGTGTCTATATACATCTCTTCTCCCTTGTGTGAGATTTTCCCTGACTTCCTGGAAGTAGAGTGGCCAGATCTAGGGACATGGGCTTTTCAAATTTACCAGACAATATTAAAGTGCTCTCCCAAGGGCTATTCCCATTTACATCCCC